CAATTCGAAATGAAACAAAAAATTCACTGTTTCAACCAAAATATGCAGCTTTCTTATATTAATTTTCATAATTATTGTACAACTCTAATCAAAATATGTGCTGATATCGTGGATACTATGATAACTCTAAAAACGTCATATTCCATTTGTGACTTCTTTTTCTCTAGCCTTGTTGCGTGTTCTGGAACAAATTCAACAATATCTAATTGACCAAGATCTTGAAATATCAACTTCAATTTATACTTGAATGGTGTATTCTTTGAAATTGCGCCTACAAATACTGCTTTCTGACCCTCATTGAGTGATGTCGAACACATCGATTTCCATTTATTACATCCATAATGACTAGCCTTCACGAATATTGCCATGAATTTCACCCACATTCAGTACGTTCACATACGAAACATTATATATTATTATAGTCAGAAGTACAAAATTTGTTTTCAGAATCGGTGACGACATATACTACACTCTGAGGCTGAATTATTCTCATTTCAGATAACTTTCGATTGAACACTTTGTCTTGAATAAATAAATTATTCAACTGCTTCAGAACATATATCTTTTTCTCATAAAATTTAATCTCTTCACTTAATTGATGGACGACTCTCAAATTCCTCTATTTCACGCCTGACTAATGCTGTACAATTATTCTAACACGAAAATGGCTACGACAATGACGACGAAACGATAACGAATAAAAGCACGCAAAATTGTCGGAAAGCACGCAAAACAACATATTTTGAAATGTCTTTGTCGAATAAATATCTACGTTTCTCATTGGGATCGCACGTTGAAACGCTACACTTCTGTTAAACCAACATGTTTTTTTTCAAATGATGTATTTCGAAACGCCCTGTACATACATTGACACATTTTTTTTTCTGAAAGGATGTATTTTGAGTAACCCTGTACACATCGAGGAATCGCACGTTAAAACGTTAAACTGTCTTATTTATTTTTTAAATGATGTATTTTGAGACACCCTGTATACTCTGAATGTCCATTACATTGCCGCTATGTTTTTTTCTTCAATCTGATTCTTCATTCATCATTATCAATATATCACTCATAATTCAACCACGCTCTTTGAATATCTCCGATACTCAGTTCATCCGTCTCTGTTTTCATTCATCACTCTGAATCGTCGATGACAGTCGACAAAACAACCGCCATAAGTATCAACAATTCACATTTACTTCTAATATCCCACGTTGGTGTTGAGGCTAAGGATAACGTCTACCACGCCGATGCCTGGGTTCGATTCTTATACCGATCTTTTTTTTATTTAATTTTCCTCAGCTGCCGATGACCACTAGGACCACGTGACTGGTGCGTGACAAGGGGGCTCAGGGATGAAGGTCTGAGGGGTGAGCCGGAGTCTCAAGGGGGACCACGCTTTTTGAATCTCTTTCATACTCATTCCATCCTTCTCTGCATCGATTACGTGACACGTTTCTCTCTTCCACTCACTGAAGTCTCTCTCTGAAACATTCACCAACGATGCGCTGTTCAATGCATCTCACTATTTTGTCGGGTACCGCAAGGCATCTGAGCAATTTACCCAGGCCATAGAGAGGTTACGCTTATACTGTATCGAGTCCTGCGTTACACATCTATCGATGAGCAGGTTCCCTTTACTTCTACCACTTCGTTAGTATGCTGGGAAGGAGCTATATAGTCTTGCCGCCGAAGATAAGATACGCACAAGTTTCGACTTCTGAGGGCTGTCGTTCATAGGGGTGCGATAGCTGGTTAACAGAAAAACAGATTTTAAACACCATAGAGCATGCAATCTCGCCATTTACCCTCTTCGCGCGGGATTACTACTCTCGTAACAATGCATAAGGCTATCTCTTAGCTCATGCGTCCACTCAAAGCATCCGTTGTCATTGCCAGGGTGGACAAATCATCGTTATGGGCCCCACCACCTTGCCACTGACTCCTACGAGCGTGTCGATTGTGGGGGCCCCTTCCTCGATTACTAGGAACCAAGTGTTGGGTCCACTGGGTAGTTAGCCCTGTGGACCCACGACCGGCACCGCAGGGAGACTAGTGTTCTCCTTACCGGGTGCGCCTGGGCTGCCTGTCCGGTTTTGCACCAGTTGCTAGGGTAAGTGGTGACGCAACTCACCAAAGGCCAAGGGTGTAAGTGGCCATCCCTGTCATTATTATTATTATTATTATTATTTTTTCACCGTAGCATGTGCTGGTCAGGCCCTATCCCCCGAAGCCCCGATAATTCGGGAGGGCGCGCCAGCATTATCAACCAATGATAACTCACCATACCGTGGGGTAAGTGAGCCAAGAATGACAGCCTTCTGCATCTGTGCGCCTAAGATTTCTGCCTTAGTGCGGCAAGCCGGTATGATTTTAAGATTCGAGAGTAGGGAGTCCACCAAGGACTCCAATAATCAGAACAACCATCTTGACAGAGTGATCTGGATAGAGTCTGCGGAGTTCGAAGAGAAAATCTCGATATTTTATCCGTTTTTTTTTTCTTTTTTGACGATATTCTTCTCGCCAGGAGCTGAAAACTCCACGACAAATATCGTTTTGCTCTGGTGGTCGAGAAGGACTACATCAGACTTATTAGCTTGTATGAGCCTGAGGGTGGGGAACGAATAGTTTCAATAAATTGGGCACTTCTCGTTCCCCACAACGAATTCAAAATCCCCCGGAGCGTAGGGCAACCCCGGTGTCTCATCAATATCGTAAGAGTGCCGTAGATGGTAATATAGCACTCTTAGGGCCGCGTTAGGTCGATGGATATAGGCCGAGACCGCATATGCTGGGCATGCTGATAGCAAGTGCATTAGGGTCTCGGGCGCCTCGCGGCAGGCCCTGCACATTGTGTCAGGAACCTTTATATCTATCACGCGACTGCGGTAGACTAAGGTGTTGAAGACACCGTCCTGGCAAGCCATGATGAACCCCACAGTATCCGACTTCAGTCCACTCAACCTGAGAAAAGCGAACGTCAGGCGCTTTGATAAGCCGAGGTCTCCAATGTTATTGCATTGGCTTATCCTTGTGTTTCCCGCAGAAGTTAGGTGATCTCTGCGGATTTTATCTGAGCTTTTTGCTGAACGGGTTCCAACTCGGTGACAGAGTTTTGGTCACCTCGTTCAGTGTCTAAAACTATACCGACTTCATCAGCTGCTCGGGCAGCTGCCCTTAAGAGAAATGCTACAATTCCTGCTGTCTCATGGTCACGGACCATGCAGAGAAGGAGATCCGAACTCCTGACGACTTTACAGGCTGTATCCAGTACCATTCTGTCACGTAGACACTCCAAACTCAAAAATCCACAGCCTTCCTTTGTCGAGGGAAGTACAACCGTGGAACGGATGATTTGGAATGCAAACTTCTATAGAGATGCATCATTTTTCGGGTCTTTACGTCGAGTTGATACAGCTCCACTTCACTACTGCAAACGAGTAGAGTAAGATTGAAACGGCAAGCATATTTGGTGCAGCAACTTTATTCTTCCCCGACAGTTCCGATGACCAGATCTGTCGAAGTTTGTGCTGATACTTGCCGCGGAGAGAGTTCTTCACTGCTGTTACTTTCGCGAGTGGCGTTATTCCACCCCGAGGTAAGTATACGTCTCTCCGGCATTCAGATGGTGTAAGATGCTACCATCTACGAGCTGCACATCCTCTCCGTAGTCCCCGCATCGTCCTCTTTTGAGATGGACCATTGTACATTTGTCTATCCCGAATGTCATACCGATAGCATGCGTGTACTCTTCCACCACCCTGAAGGACTGATGGAGATCCTTCTCTCCAGAGGCAAAAAGTCTAAGATCATGCATATAAAACAAATGGGTGACCTTGTGCCTCCGGTTTCCGGGGGCACAAGGTCGTGTATTTCTGAGCGCAACGGATAATGGCAATAGTGAGATGAAGATGAGAAGGGGACTGAGGGAATCACACTGAAATACACCCCTTCTGAAAGTGACCTACCCTGTTTGGACTCTTGTTTATTATTATTATTAGCATTATTATTATTACCATTTTACCGTGGTATGCGCTGGTCATGCCCTATCCCCCGAAGCCCCGATACATTCAAAAGGGCGCTAGCATTATCAACCAGCGACCACTCCTCACACCTTGGGGTAAGTGATTGGTCCGAGGGTCATGTGTCCTCATGTCCTCAGCAGCGCAGGGCAACACCGGTGTCTCGTCAATACCGTAAGAGTGCCGTAGATGGCAATAAAGTACTCTTAGGGCCGCGTTATGTCGATGGATATAGCATATGCTGGACATGCTGGCAGCAAGTGCATTAGGGTCTCGGACGCCTCGCGGCATGCCCTGCACCTTGTGTCAGGAACCTCTATACCCATCACGCGACTGCGGTAAACTAAGGTGTTGAAGACACCATCCTGGCATACCATGATGAACCGACTTCAGCCCACTCGACCTGAGGAAAACGAAAGTTAGGCGCTTTGATAAGCCAAGGTCTTGAAGAAGACCCCATGCATTGGCTTATCATTATGTTGGACTCTTAGAAAAGTTGAGTGAGGTAACTATGAATGTTTTGTTGTTACTGAAGACAATTGTTTCATTTTCTATTTTTAGATACACAATAAATGTTTGAGGCAGTTTGTTTTAAGTGCTTTCGATATGGCTCGTGAAATACAGATCACTCCTAAACGACTAGAATATGCCCGAAATGTCGAATTACAGTTATATACAACTTTAATGAATATTGCCTGTGAGAAACAAGAAGAAATAGTAACAATAATTCAAAAAACACTTTTGGAAATGAAATCAAATGTGGCTGAGGTGTTGGAAGGATATAACCAGACAGGTATGGATTTGTTTACTAAATGCATCTTCTGTTGATTTATTAAATAACCTCTTAGATATTGACCAAAACCGAATTCCAAAATCAACTACTATAGAAATTCAACAACTGGTATTGAGAAAATTGACCAAATCCGTAGCTACTCAAATAGTGCAGTCAGTGGGATGCTTGCATGATAGTTTTACAGGAACTTTGCAAAGATGTTTAGAATCATTGGAGAAAAATTGTCATGATTTGGAAGGAAACGTCTCTGCTTCTGATGCTGTTAGACAGATAGTTAGAGCAGCCTACAATATCGATCTAAACTATTCTTCCTCATTTTCTGTTCTGCATATAGTAATGGATCGTTTGAGAACGTTTTTGTCCACTTTTATTCTGTCTTGGTCTTCCTCAAGTCAAAATCAGTGCAATTTTCAGTGGCAACTACACATCGCCACCAAAATGATTGATAAGCTTAGTGCTTTAAAACTTGCCAAAACAATTTCATTGCAGGTATGTATATAGTTGTAACAATGAAATAATAGACACATGTCATTAATAAAATTCTTCGCGATACAGTACAAATTTTTATATAGTAACGATAGTTAAAGTTTACAGAGAGCTCTTCTTTGTATCGTAGCTCGCACTTAGTAGATCGAAAGAGTACAAATGTGAGTAGCCAGCCATTTCTTAGATTTGATACCAATTGATGACACATTATCGTTTGACAGTTGAATATTGTTATTTCACAGTTTCTAAGGTTTGAAGTCAGCCATATTCGATATTTCATTGTAAATATAAGTTGTAATGTAATTTTATAAGTTCGAAACTCAAATTGGAAATGTTTCTCTAATATTACGCATACTGGAATATTCAAATCACCAGTGCTGGGATTCATATGTTAAAAGGTGATGCTTTAGCAGATATCAGAGTTGAGTAGAATCAAAATGAGCTGTTTCTGTAGAGTAATTGAATGAAGTCCTGACGAATCTTATGAAATTGACCAAAATTTACCAAAAAAGTTGGATTACTTTTCAACGAATTTCTCATCAAAAGTTTTGGTTTCTCGTAGCAGTAGCCACGTTATTTGATTTTGAACTGTGTTGTCTGAACCGTACATTTTACTTATTCATTGTTGATTTCATGATGCATTTTTATTCATTCAAATTATGAGTATATATTCGAGAAAATCAAACCAGCCAGGGCGAGATATTTATTCACTTACATGTACAGTATTTATTAGTCAAATGGAATAAATTCATTAAGGAAGTTCGTGGTAAAAAACCGTTCTCACACAACGTTTGGTATTTTTAGTTGCGCTATTTTTTCAATAATTCCATGAAAATGGAATTATTCTCACATTCTCACATTGATTTCAATTTAAGAGCAACCGGTAGACAGCTGTTTCAGCCTACTAGGCATCGTCAGTACCAGGCAGGCGGTCCTCGATTGAAGACAAAGTGTGAATAACCAAGAAAAGTAGGTACTTGATAAAAATAACTGGGTAAACGCAAGCGAGACATAAGTGGAACCACCTATTGGTGTGACACCCAAGTCAACTTGCCAAGTTTTCATGTCAGTGTTGGTGGTTTGACCAATCAACCAACAACTGCGATAGCAGAAACTTGGGAAGCTAACCTGAAATGACATCGGAAAACGAATCTACAAGTTACTAAAAATGATATGAAATCGAAAATGGTTAATGCAGCCAAGCTGGTGGAAAATAATTCCATGAAAATCAAAAGATAAATAGATAAGTACTCTTTGATCATTCCCATATTGATTTCAATTTAAGAGCCACCGGTATACAGCTGTTTCAGCCTATTGGGCATCGTCAGTACCGGGCAGGCGGTCCTCGATTGAAGACAAAA